TGAGCGCCTTAGGTGAGGCGGTACGATTATCAAATCGATCATCGACTTCTGTGCACAAGTTTGCCGGTACAAGGTGTACTGAAGTTTTTCAATGCTTTCGAAGATGTTCAAAATGGACAATCCGCCGTTTGCACAAAAGCGCAACAACTTCAAGCCGTTATTGTTGAGGTCGCTAAGGCCGTTTCTTCCAATCACGCCGTTCCACTTTTCAGTGTCTACTCCGACATACACATTAAAATCGCCCACCAGTATGAGGGACTGTATTCGGCACTCCTCAAAGAGGGTATCATATTCTCCATCCAAACTGGGCGTTTAGACCTGTACCATGGTCAATACTTTACCAGTCGGAGGATTACCCCGCTTCTGCTAGCAGGCTTCCAATCAGTGATTCTATCTGCGACGTTGAGTTCTACCAGATCACGTAATCCAGCATGAGTGCGTGTCGTGCTATCAATACCTGCACAGAACAGCTTCCATCCATTGAGGCCCAGGAGTCCATAACTTTGGCGTTTCGTTGGCGAGAGTCCAACAATGTCGAGTTGTTACATTATGGCCTCATCAACAAACTCTTGCTCTTTTCCTCTGAATGGAGATATGTTCCAATTTCCGACTGTATACTCCCATTGGCGGTGTCGTTCTCGTGTTATAATGCCATCGCGCTGTCTTTCTCCTCCGTTCAGAACCGGTGGCGACTCCGTTGTTGACTGGTATCTTCGTCGTCGTTCCGTCCCTATTCGTCAGCCGTCGTTGTGCTGCTACGCCCTCCCCCGTCTGGCAGAGGGCGATGAGCAGGTTCTGATTGCCGACTATGCTTAGTCCCCCAACAGAATGCGGGGCCCTTGGTAACTCGGGCGACGGCCGAGCTGGTATAATATTCGATGGTGTCAATACCATGAGTGGGCAGGTGGCGAACTTTCACGCGGATTTTGCCACTGTCTCCAACCGTCCTCCGTTCTTAACCGGGCTTGGGACCAGCAACTGAAGAATTTATCAAGAGACCGCTATGTCGCTAACATATGAGCACAGATGAATGCAGCAATGAGGTTCTATGTAAAATTCTTCCTCATTCTCGTTCCAAGGCACAACACAGTGGCTTCTCTCATTCTTTAGTCCAGATGTACGGTGTTTTCCATAACTAACCTTCGTCCTTTACGTAGCAACGTTTCTTATCAACCACTTAATGTACACATTTATTTTTAATTTTTGGTCAATAAATTTAATGTATTTTGCAACAGAAAAAGTATTTATGTGCACGTTTCTATACAAATATTAGAACTCACCCGCGTCTTGAACGAGCATGAAAAATTTGGTGAGTAAATATAATGGCCGCTCATGTTCCAGTCGAGCGAGCACAAATTTGCTAGTAAGACGCGCTCGTGTCTAACAAGGGTACGTATGTTAACTGGTAAAAGAATTTTCCTCAAATTCACCGCTGCAAATTTTAACCCAAATGAGAATGGAAGAAGGGTAGAGACACTAGCGACGGCTCCCGTTAAACATCGCCATGTGCACTTCATGCAATTGACGCTATACAACATTAAACTGGATCGTTCATCGCCTGAATTATCAAGGAACTGTTGAGGCTTCCGTACTGAGGCATACCGCAAAAACTAGGTTGTCAGACCTGCTTCTCGCTTTTGGCAGCTGGGTGCCTATAGCAGCAGCACGGCGACGGTTGCCAAAGATTTACACAAAGATGATGACGATACCAATCAGCAATGGAGTCGCTATCTATTCTGAATGCAGGAAGCAGATGCGATACCATTATGGCACATCAGAGCTTACAATTTAAAATCAGAGCATCTCCTCACTCGCGGGGAAAGAGCAAGTGCCAGTTAATGAGACTCAAGGTAAAAACTGAATGGAGTTTGACTCTCGTCAGCGAAGTGTCAAGACCGAAATTTTTAACCTCTGCGAGAGAAAGCTATTCAACTTAAGTATCGAAACGTCCTGACGTCGCTGTTAGTGTTCTGACAAAACTGAACATTGCTGAGAGAATCACTGAATGGAAGCCTGTCAGCGGAAGGGTGGCAATCCTGCGACTGAAGCAACCACAGGCTAAAGCGTTGACCTTATTACCGATCAATCCGCCATTTTGGACGAGTAATATGCATCCTTTCTGAATGAAGTGCGGTAAGTAATGGATCAACAAGGAATCCATCATTCTGATAAGTGACTTTAATGCATACGGCGGAGCAGTCATTGAAAAGTGGAAAGGAGTGATTCGGAAGAAATCGACGTGATGTCGACAAACAACCGACCGTCTGTAATGAACAGATTCTCTGAGCGACAAAAGAGTGGTGTACTTTCCACGATGAAACTAGTGAAGTCGGTGATCGATTTGAAATTTGTATCGTCTAACCTGCGACACTATAACTGATGCACGCACTAAAGGAGGCGCAGAGCTAACGACCGATCACCATCTTGTTGTTGAATCCCTCCGCTTCAAACGATGGAGTACAACGTGACAACACGATACAATACAACCTAGTGACAGCAGTAACCAGAGAAATATATAAAAAAAACATTTTCGGCGAATATGAGGGGCTATTCAGTCGGTAGAGCATCGAATTCACAACTGATAGATCCCGAGTTCAAGCCCAGGTCAGGATCACTCGCTCATGTTTCCTACGGTTGATACATGAGTACCATTCTATGGGAAGGAAACAGGGGGCTACCTGCTACGCTTGCCACATGCCTGTAGACTCTACCTTTAAAATAAGCACTCCTGGCTGCTGGCATAAAAACGGAGATTAAAAACGCACCATGCATTTTACGGAAAGAAGGGTATGGGAAAGCATGGCTCATTCATGTGGGTGAAAGAAGACCGACATTCTAACAATGACAAATTTCCCCTTCCTCCCTTTCAACAAGATGGTCTGGGAGATTCGTTACAGCTTTTGGTTTACTAAAGATTGGAGGATGATAACTTCGCAATATTTACAGTTCACGCTTTCTTGGACCTTGTGGATATAATTAAAAATTTTACAATAAAGTTCATTTCAGAAAGATCAAAAAAGTAGTTTATCACCGTTGGAATGTCACACTTCCTTAACTTTCATGACTGAGCCATGAAGTTGATGATGTTGTGCTGATCTCGGTTTCCATGCCATCAACCAGGAGTGCCTTGTTTCTGTAAACGGAGTCTACAAACATGTAGCAAACGTACGGTGTAGTCAATCTGCAGCTTCCTTCCACAGAGTGATAGTCATCTATCAACCCCAAAAGAAAAATGGCCACCTGACTGTGGCTTGAACTCCGTACCAGGTTCAGAGTTAGACGCTCTACCGATATCTCGATCTGGAGTAATGTGTGGCAAATCCCTTGCTTAATGGAATTAGCGAATATGATAAAATCTCCCTGAGATTAATTGAACCTGACACTGCCATATTTAAAGCAGATTACTTCGGCACAAGGTCATACGTCATGGAAAAAGAAATTAACGACAAAATCAGTTTTAAGGACGTGCTAGATAAGAACAACGAGGTTAAAAGCGAAAAACCTTTTAACTCTGCCGTTTATCGAAAAACTCAAGGTTCCAACAGGCCCAAAGTTTGCTTACCCCGAAGTTATTTATTTAAAAAGAACTGTTTTTAAAGACCTACACCAAAAACAGAAATTAAACATCTACAAATGTTCTCACGTAGAAATCTCTACAGTGAGGAATTATTAAAACGTATTTATCGAAACTAAATCTTAATGTTAAAATACATTCGACAATATAAATTACCCCCACTCTAGTCATCGTCTTTATTCCGAATCTCAGAAAATCAAGCAGTACCTGGAAAATGAAAATTTTCGAACCTATGACAAAATCAACAATTCACTGGGACCACAGGAATAGCAGAATCTCCATCAACAGGAGAACAAGATTAAGTGGCTTCGAAGATCAAATGAAGTAAATGCGGCAATGCATATATCGAAAAAATCATACAGAAATTGGACAAAGTGGTTGCGGAAAATCTAGCAAATCTGCAGAAACATCCTTGAATCGTTTCTCATTCTTTATACTTCGTATACTCCTTTAGCTCAACGAATGCCACTTATCAATTCTACTGATAAGGTGAGAGCAAACGAGTTATTAACTGATCGCTACACATGGCTAGTAAAAGCGGACTGTGTGACAGCTACAGGAACTCGTCTAGTAGCACTGCCAGCTGGAATTTCACTGGCCAGCTTTATCAAAAAATTTAATTGAACAAAGGATGCTATGACTCATATGCTGATTTATTTGCTTATTACCTTGACGATGATGGCGTGCGGAGGTCGAAATGAATCGGTGAATAAAAGATCTTATAACGTACTTTTTAGCTGTTGCCCTAAGTACGCACAGAAAAGCGAAGGCCATTAACCGCTGTTTAAACAGGCAAAGAATCTATGCTTC